AGATATAGCATATATATATAGTATAATTAGTAGATATAAGATATGTAGCATAATTAGCAGATATAGAATATGTAGCATAATTAGTAAATATCATATATGTAGCATAATTAGTATAGTTAGTGCATACAGTATAAGTAGTATATTTAGCATATATAGTATAAGTATTGTATATAGCATTAATAACATATTAGAAAAAGTATATAAGTAATATGTTTAAATAAGAGAAAACATAGAATAGAATAGGTTACTACCTTTGAGAACATTATTACAAATTACTCTTACTAATGCACTCTATATAATTATTATAATCTACTTTTTACAAACTACTTCTGCTACTCTATTACTTATTTTACCTCTAATACTAAACCTTGACTACTTACTGTTTTTGATAACCAAATAATTATTAGCAAAGCCAGAAGGCATAATACACCTACTGGCTTTATCTTCATCAACTACTGGCATTGTTTATTCCAGTCTCAGTTCTTTAATCTTTATTCTACTTTTTTTTTTATTACTATATTATATACTGAATGCTATCTTAATTCAAATACAATTGCTAACAAATGTACTATCTTTATATATACTAATTTGGTTACTAAGCTACTTTGTTACATCAATTCTGACAAAACTCTTAACCTTTATGCAAACTTTCTTGATATTATATACTCTGTTACTCTTTGACATCCTTTACATATTCTACCTTCTCTTTTACTTACAATTAATTTATAACAAATACCTTTTATTTTTAAAACATGACATCTTTTTAATAACCTTTAGACTATTGCTAACTCAAATTACAATTTATCATTTATCTCATTTTATATTGATGGTTCTGTTATTAATTTTAGTACTTCATAGTGCTTTATGGGCATAGGTTGAGTTCAAGTTAATAACTATACAACTATTAACTTATTTTAAGCACAAGTTAAACTGTGGCCATGCTTTTTCAAAGCTGAAATTCTTACTATTTTCTTAGCAATTATTATTGTTTCTAGACATTGCTTTGTTCATATATTTACTGACTTACAATTAGTAATTTCTAAATATCATAATATTTGCTAATCAGCATTTACTTATTCTTATATTTATATTTCAGATTTCTCTATTTAGCAAACACCTATTAACTTTATTAAGTCCTATAAAATTCAGTTTACTTTTTACAAAGTTACTGCATACCAAGATAATTCATTTAACAACCTTGCTGACCAACTTGCTCATAATTACTTTACTTAATATTCTTAACTAATAATCCTTATAACCTCAACTATATTTTTTTTATCAATGAATTTCCTATTGAAATTTTTATGTAATGCTTTATTTGAACTATGTGCCAAGTCTACATTATAACACTTTAGACATCTTAATATTATTTTCAACAATAATCTGTCATTGCATTTGATAGTAACTAGAAAGCTACATGGCTTTACATCAATAACAATCAAAAAATTTCTAATTTTGCTTATAGCTTTTATTCATTTACTGAAAAGTTTTCAAGTTAAAATTCTTACAAATGAACTTTCTGTTTCTTATACTCTTTATAAACATAACTCATTACTTTTTTTCTCTTGTTATTAATACAACCAAACCAGCTCTTTACTTCATTGGGCTATCTGTATATTAACTCAAACAATTTACTACTTAATTTCTAATCTCCTTAATAGTATTTTAAATACAACTATTCTTATATATCTGCCAATCTTGTTTCTAATTTATATACTGAAATTCCCACATTTAACGGTTTCAAACTGCACAACTCTTCACATATATCTTCTCTTATTTTTACTCTATCTGGTTTAGTTCCTATTGATCTTATTTCTACTATCTACAATGCTTCTATTTCTTATCATACTGCTACTACTTTTTTTATCAAACTTTTTCTTTACTTAAACCAATAAATATACAAACAAATATAGATTCTATACTGTATTTTACATTCTGCACAGTCTTAAATTACACTTTTTATTAACTTAACTCATAGTCATTCTTTTAGTTTATCTTTATCTTCTATTTCAATATTACAAATTAGTACTAAAATTGATCTTTGAACTTTTTAATAGATTAAATACCATAGTCCTCTCTCTTATATTATTACTTAAATCAAAATTTAAGTAAGCCTTGGTTACTTTTGTAAATTTAAGTTGCAGATTATATGTCTAAGTCTTTATTTTTCATATGTAATTTAAAAACAAGCTTTTTTTATAAAAACTTTAATTAAATTTCAATAAAGTTAAAAGCATAGTCTTATTATTAATATTAAAAAAAAATAAATAAAATAGAATAATAATAAAGAATACTTACCTTAAACACTTACTAAATCTAATACCTCTTTTGAGTATTATGACATCTTACATTATACAAATAACCTATTGACTACTCTATAAATAGAGAATTCTAGAGTAGTTCTGTTCAGTATAGTTATAATATACTTGTTTTTATTAACTAAAATAATCTTAAGAGTTTTTTTATTATTTTTTTTATAATTAATAATACAACAATTGAACTAACTAATAACAGAAAATAAAAAAATATTATTGTACTAAATATCATTAAATATATATAGCAACAATAGCATAGTTCAAAATAATTTTTTTTAGTTAATAATTATATCAAATTGGTATATTAATATATTATTATTTTTCTTATTTGATATTATATAAATAAATAAATAAATTAAAACTTATATAAAGAAAGAAAATAGTATTATAAATAGACAGAACCAAACTATAAAAGAAAAAAAATAAAAAAAAATAGAATTTAAGAATAATTTTTTTTAATATCAGTTTTAGACAAAGTACTTGGATGGTTCCCAAGTACTTTGTTTAAAAAAAATCAACTATAATACTAATTATTGATTATGTATACTTTATTTAATAATTGTATCATGTTTATATAAAATTAAAATCATATGACTTTTGATTATGTAATAATGTTTGAGTATATAGTACCAGCTCGACTAATTGTTTTTTAAATAGTAAACTGATGGTTTGACCAATCAGATCATCCCATTTCATGAAAAAACAATTAGTCGATCTCCTTCCTAATTAAATTATTATATAGTTAATTAGTAAATTTATTTAGTAACCAGCTGGACTAATTGTCAAACCGCGGTTTACATAGTAAAAAACAATTAGTCAATCTCCTTACTAATTAATTAGTAACCAGCTTGACTAATTGGTTTTTTTAACCAATCATATTTCTTATTTTACTTTTAGTCTTTATTATACAAGTAAAAAATATTTCGTATATAATACAAGTTTAATAAAAGATATAAATATATGTTATACGTTCGTTCAAGAAAAATCGTGATTTATGAGAAATTTTATTATGATACTTATTTTTATGGTCTTAAGTAAATATATGCAGAAGCAAAAAATAATGCTAGTTTATTAAAACGACTTTTATTATTTTATTATTAAAATTTCGTGTAAATCGTGATTTTAATACTGACGGCTTTTTTAAAAAGAGATCTGCAAAGTTAAGACGAAAAACGTTTCATCAAAAATTAGGATAATTCCACGAATATTGATCCTTTCATCCTCAAATTTTACAGGAAAAATCTTATGAATCATCACTATCAACTTATTTAAGATCATATTGATTGTTTCATTTGACGAATATATTCAACTGGATATGAACCTTCTTTCCCTTTTTTCAAAGAAGAAAAACGTATACGTTTTTCAAAGGAAAAATCTGAATATCTGCATAAGTTTTTGTTCGGTTTTGATGAAAATCTAGATTCTAATGTAAAATAGTACTGGCAACATTTTTAATTAGTAGCATTTTGTATGGTAACTAGTGAAAAATACTTTCCGAAAGCGATTTTCTATTGATAAACAGTTTCGTTCGTTGCTAGTTCTCTTCACAAAAAAGACTGTAACTTTTCAAGTTCATCATCGTTTGTTGCGTAAACAGAGATTCTAAAAGTTCAAAACATTATCTAAAACTTTTATTATTAGCAAAACATAGGTTTCATTCTATTAACATACTGAATTTTTTGTATGAAAATAATAAACTGTATTTTAGAAAATAAGGTTTTGTAAATTGTTTGTTATATTAATGATGTACTATGTAAATTCGGTTGATGTTTATGTATTTTCTATGTTACACTTATATGTGTGATTGATCATCCATGTATCGCGAAAACATAAATTTTCATATTTTTTGATCTACAAATTTACTAATTAAAAAAAACTATATAAAGACCTATTTTCCTAAATGTTTTCAGTACTTTGTATTTGAAAAGGAAATTGACCTTTTGGTTTTGAGAGTACACAAATACATAACAGAATACCGAGCTCCACGAGCCAGCTATTCCATATAATTATTTTGTTTAAATAATTATTAAATATATTTTATAATGTCATTGTCTTATTGCTTATGGTGTAAGAATATACAGCTTGTATATTTAAATTGTGATTTTGACTTAGAAGATATATTATTACATTTACAATTCTTGTTCATAGAGAGAAATGTTATCATTCAATCGCACATTATAACAACTATCAATAATAATATTTATTGTTATATTTCTCTTAACAGAGCTATCGCTATAAAAAATAATAATTTTTTTGATATTGATTTTACTGAGATCAAATTTCATCCTATCGTGACAATGTCACGATCAGAAAAACATATAAAATCACTTGTAAAAGATAATAAATATATTTCAAATATCATGTAATTAACAAATATCGATTTTAATAAAAATATTTTCTACTTTGTACATTGGTACCGAGTAGAATTTTATTTACATAAATTTAATATTTCAATTTATATTTTTAAACAATTAACATGGGAATAAGTTATAAATTTTGTTTTACGATGATAACAACATTTCATTGTATTAATTGTAATGAAAAATATCAATGTTTAAAGAAAAACAGAATTGATGAAAAAGAAAGAAAAATATGTGAACAAGAATTTGATCAAACAGAAGAATTACCAAAATGTTTACTTTGTAAAAAAAATCATTAGAGATGTAAAGGAGAAAAGTGCACTCAATGCTGTAAACTTGCACTTTGCAATGATATAAATTGTTTAAATTGTAAAGAACAAGAAATCGAATGTCAATATTCATTTCCTAGAAATCAAGAAGAATATGATAGTTTTGGAAACATATTAACTAGAAGTGTTGCAAAATTTGAACGAACAATGCAAGCAAGATTGCATGCTCATATCTTTTTACAATTTAGTCATCAACTTACAATGTTTAGTGTAAAAAAACTATTAAAAGATGAAAAAATTTCATTTCCACCAGGTGTTTTATTACGTGGAACTTCTCAAGATGCTGAAAATTATGTATTAAAACTATATGGATGATGCAAGATTCATCATAATTCAAATAAAGGAAAATATTGTCAATGTAATTTTTTTAAATTAGATGAATTGGGCAAATGTAAATTGTGCAATAACAAATGTTGTAAAGAAAGAAGAACAGAACAATTAGATAAATTAGATTCTGGTCCATTTATTTTTGGAAAACATCGATTTATGGTTGGCAGTTTAGATGAGGTTATTGACAAAATAAATAATGCTAGACTTGATGATATTAATAGAAAAACAAAATTACGTGATGAATCTATAAGTTATTACCAAGCAATACAGAATCCTGAAGACATACCATTATCGTGGTATGATAACCCAAGATCTCATAAATTGATAACAAAAGATCGAGAATTATTAAAAAATAATATTAAATTTATATATCATAAAAAACACTATCCTAAGAATTTTTTATTTTATGGTAATTCTGGAACTGGAAAATCAGAAACAACCAGAAAATTAGTATGAGCATTAACTAAACTTCTGAAAAATGAATTATATGATCAAAAAATTTGTGATAAAGCTAGAGATAATCGATATATTAATGAATATTACAATCAAGAATGTACATATACTCAAGAATTCAAATTTGATTCATGGGATGTTGAGGACTTCTTAAAATTAACTGAGAAAGACAGATGCTCAATTAGTCGAAAAAAACTACCTCCTGTAAATGTAGTGGCAAAATTTAATGTGATTACATCTCAAGATTCTTTTGTTACTACTTTTAATCGTAGAATTAGTTTTGAAAAGTTGAAAGCTATTTACAGAAGGTTTTCAAAATCAAAATCTTATACACATGGATATATTATTAACTTGAAAGGAGATTTTCATGATGGACGAGTAAAATTTATAATTGAAACTATCAAAGAATACCAATCTGGAGATATACAATTATTTATCAATGGTAATTTTGATATTAAATTCGAATATGATTTAGATATTAAAGAAGTTAAGAATTATGTATATGATAATGATTTTGACAATTTGTATGAAGATAATGATAGTATATATCTAAAATGTCAAGTTGATATAAATTATATTCTAGGAGGCATAATTTGTGATATAAATTATGAGAAAAATAGTTTTTGGGTATATAATGAATATTGGGAAACTGATTTACCTGATAATATTATAATTCCTAAAAACATTAATGTCTTACATAAAAAGTTACAAGAAAAGATTAAAATTCATCCAAAATATCAATCAGGTAAACGCAAAGATACAGAAACTATTATTATTAATCCAAAAAAAATTAAAATAGATAATTAATTATATTATTAATTTTATTATTATATATATTATTTTTTTTATATAAATAAATATTTAAATACCTTCAAATTATTTTTATTAACTAAAAATGTCTGTTGTAATGAGTAAACTTGAAAATGATGATTTTGAAAAGATATATGAACAATGTTTCGAGCAAAATATATTATTATTTGCAGATTATAATATGCAATTTCAAAATGCTAATAAATTTTTCAAATATTATTTAACAAACCAGAATCAAGAAATATTTGATTACTATCATATTGATAATTATATAATAATTGTTGATTATAAGAAAAAAGTAATTGATTTATTTCATAAAATTGAAATTTTAACATATTCAAATTATAAAGAAGGACGATTGATTCATTGTATGAATTGTTCAAAAATATATTTA